AAACGCCTTACTATACTATGTCGTTTTTTTCGGCTCAAAATGCCTTACTATACTATGTCGTTTTTTCGTGCTAAAAACGCCTTACTATACTATGCCGTTTTTTTCGGCTAAAAACGCCTTACTATACAATGCCTTTTTTTTCGTGCTAAAAACGTCTTACCATACTATGTAGTTTTTTTCGGGCTAAAAACGCCTTACTATACTATGTCGTTTTTTTCGGCTCAAAATGCCTTACTATACTATGTCGTTTTTTCGTGCTAAAAACGCCTTACTATACTATGCCGTTTTTTTCGGCTAAAAACGCCTTACTATACAATGCCTTTTTTTTCGTGCTAAAAACGTCTTACCATACTATGTAGTTTTTTTCGGGCTAAAAACGCCTTACTATACTATGTCGTTTTTTTCGGCTCAAAATGCCTTACTATACTATGTCGTTTTTTCGTGCTAAAAACGCCTTACTATACTATGCCGTTTTTTTCGGCTAAAAACGCCTTACTATACAATGCCTTTTTTTTCGTGCTAAAAACGTCTTACCATACTATGTAGTTTTTTTCGGGCTAAAAACGCCTTACTATACTATGTCGTTTTTTTCGGCTCAAAATGCCTTACTATACTATGTCGTTTTTTCGTGCTAAAAACGCCTTACTATACTATGCCGTTTTTTTCGGCTAAAAACGCCTTACTATACAATGCCTTTTTTTTCGTGCTAAAAACGTCTTACCATACTATGTAGTTTTTTTCGGGCTAAAAACGCCTTACTATACTATGTCGTTTTTTTCGGCTCAAAATGCCTTACTATACTATGTCGTTTTTTCGTGCTAAAAACGCCTTACTATACTATGCCGTTTTTTTCGGCTAAAAACGCCTTACTATACAATGCCTTTTTTTTCGTGCTAAAAACGTCTTACCATACTATGTAGTTTTTTTCGGGCTAAAAACGCCTTACTATACTATGTCGTTTTTTTCGGCTCAAAATGCCTTACTATACTATGTCGTTTTTTCGTGCTAAAAACGCCTTACTATACTATGCCGTTTTTTTCGGCTAAAAACGCCTTACTATACAATGCCTTTTTTTTCGTGCTAAAAACGTCTTACCATACTATGTAGTTTTTTTCGGGCTAAAAACGCCTTACTATACTATGTCGTTTTTTTCGGCTCAAAATGCCTTACTATACTATGTCGTTTTTTCGTGCTAAAAACGCCTTACTATACTATGCCGTTTTTTTCGGCTAAAAACGCCTTACTATACAATGCCTTTTTTTTCGTGCTAAAAACGTCTTACCATACTATGTAGTTTTTTTCGGGCTAAAAACGCCTTACTATACTATGTCGTTTTTTTCGGCTCAAAATGCCTTACTATACTATGTCGTTTTTTCGTGCTAAAAACGCCTTACTATACTATGCCGTTTTTTTCGGCTAAAAACGCCTTACTATACAATGCCTTTTTTTTCGTGCTAAAAACGTCTTACCATACTATGTAGTTTTTTTCGGGCTAAAAACGCCTTACTATACTATGTCGTTTTTTTCGGCTCAAAATGCCTTACTATACTATGTCGTTTTTTCGTGCTAAAAACGCCTTACTATACTATGCCGTTTTTTTCGGCTAAAAACGCCTTACTATACAATGCCTTTTTTTTCGTGCTAAAAACGTCTTACCATACTATGTAGTTTTTTTCGGGCTAAAAACGCCTTACTATACTATGTCGTTTTTTTCGGCTCAAAATGCCTTACTATACTATGTCGTTTTTTCGTGCTAAAAACGCCTTACTATACTATGCCGTTTTTTTCGGCTAAAAACGCCTTACTATACAATGCCTTTTTTTTCGTGCTAAAAACGTCTTACCATACTATGTAGTTTTTTTCGGGCTAAAAACGCCTTACTATACTATGTCGTTTTTTTCGGCTCAAAATGCCTTACTATACTATGTCGTTTTTTCGTGCTAAAAACGCCTTACTATACTATGCCGTTTTTTTCGGCTAAAAACGCCTTACTATACAATGCCTTTTTTTTCGTGCTAAAAACGTCTTACCATACTATGTAGTTTTTTTCGGGCTAAAAACGCCTTACTATACTATGTCGTTTTTTTCGGCTCAAAATGCCTTACTATACTATGTCGTTTTTTCGTGCTAAAAACGCCTTACTATACTATGCCGTTTTTTTCGGCTAAAAACGCCTTACTATACAATGCCTTTTTTTTCGTGCTAAAAACGTCTTACCATACTATGTAGTTTTTTTCGGGCTAAAAACGCCTTACTATACTATGTCGTTTTTTTCGGCTCAAAATGCCTTACTATACTATGTCGTTTTTTCGTGCTAAAAACGCCTTACTATACTATGCCGTTTTTTTCGGCTAAAAACGCCTTACTATACAATGCCTTTTTTTTCGTGCTAAAAACGTCTTACCATACTATGTAGTTTTTTTCGGGCTAAAAACGCCTTACTATACTATGTCGTTTTTTTCGGCTCAAAATGCCTTACTATACTATGTCGTTTTTTCGTGCTAAAAACGCCTTACTATACTATGCCGTTTTTTTCGGCTAAAAACGCCTTACTATACAATGCCTTTTTTTTCGTGCTAAAAACGTCTTACCATACTATGTAGTTTTTTTCGGGCTAAAAACGCCTTACTATACTATGTCGTTTTTTTCGGCTCAAAATGCCTTACTATACTATGTCGTTTTTTCGTGCTAAAAACGCCTTACTATACTATGTTCTTTTTTTCGCGTTAAAAACGCCTTCCTATACTATGTCATTTTTTTCGTGCTAAAAACGCCTTACTATACAATGCCGTTTTTCTCGGCTAAAAACGCCTTCCTATACATGGTCGTTTTTTTTCCTGCTAAAAACGCCTTACTATCCTATGTCGTTTTTTTCGGCTAAAAACGCCTTCCTATACATGGTCGTTTTTTTTCCTGCTAAAAACGCCTTACTATCCTATGTCGTTTTTTTCGGCTAAAAACGCCTTACTATACTATGTCGTTTTTTCGTGCTAAAAACGCCTTACTATGCCGTTTTTTTTCGCTAAAAACGCCTTACTCCACTTTGTCGTTTTTTTCATGCTAAAAACGCAATACTATACTATGTCGTTTTTTTCGGCAAAAACGCCTTATTATACTCAAAATGCCTTTCTATACTATGTCGTTTTTTTCGGCTAAAAACGCCTTACTATACATGGTCGTTTTTTTCGTGCTAAAATCGCCTTGCTATATACTATGTCGTTTTTTTTCGGCTAAAAACGCCTTACTATATATACACGGTTGTTTTTTTTTCGGCTAAAAACGCCTTACTATTCGTAGTCTTTTTTCGGGGGTTAAAAACGCCTTACTGTACATGGTCGTTTTTTGGGGTAAAATCGCCCTCCTGTCCATGATCGTTTTTTTTTTTTCGGCTAAAAACGCCATACTATACATGGTCTTTTTTTTGGGCTAAAAATGCCTGGTCATCTGAAAAAAAAAACATACATGTCATCTGAAAAAAAAACACCTTACTATTCATGGTCATCTTAAAAAAAAAAAAACTCATCTTTTAAAAAAACAAAACAAAAACACGCTTTTCCTTGTTTGGGAATCTTAAAAAACAAAAAATATTTTGGTGCCAATAAAACTAAATTTGTTGCTCGCCCTTTTGACAAAAAAAAAAAAAAATACACTGAATCTCAGACATTTTGAAGCGATCAGACTCGCATTCAGTATCAGTCTTTTGGGGTCAAAAAGTAATACATTACTTTTTATAGCAAAAGACACTAGACTTCAACTTTTGGTGCAAAAATACTTTCACTAAATGTAAGACATTTCTACCCAAAAAGACTTTTTAGATCGAAAAAGTCAGCAAGCAATCGATAATTGACACACAGGCACACGGACAATAATACAGTACACACACTCGTGCATTCTTTATCATGTGCCAAGAACAACTTGTCAAGATGAAAGCCTACTTTGAAACGCTAAGCCTTGTTTGACACCCTACTTTGAAACTGTAACCCTAGTTTGAAATACTAAATTGAAACCCTCACTCTACTTTCAAACGAGGATTAGGGTTTTAAAGTCGGGATTAATACAACCAAAGGGTTTGAAAGCCGACTTTGAAAAATACATCAAAACCCTAACATCATGTTAGGGTTTTGATGTATTTTTAAGTCATGTTCGTAACATGACTAACATGACATTTTTAAGTCATGTTATTAACATGACTTAAAAAACCCTAATCTTTTTGAAACCCTGACCCTAAACTCCAGAACCCCATGTGTTGTTTTGCATTGCATGCTCAGGTACCTGAACTACTTCGCGACCAAGTCCAGCCCAACGGGGGTCATCCTGGACCTGTGGGAGGCGCAGCACTTCCCCGACGGCAACCTGAGCCGCCTGGCCCAAGTCCTGGAAGAAATGGGACGCCACGACAGCCTCCTCCCTGCCGCCAATGAGCACTGACATCATATCGGAAACAACGCCAACGCCGCCGCCGCTCCTCCGCGCACCTTTGTCGTATTCATGGACCCCGTCGCCATGGAAACAGCCTCGGGTTATTCACGAGAAACAATCCCAAGATGGATGTTGAAGAGAAGCGTCTTGGGGGGTCAGGTCTCCATGGCAACCCGGCAAACTGACTCATGTTCTGTGATAGTATAGTATTTAATATGAATAATGATAATCCCATTTATGCTTTTTTTTTCTAAATGAGCGCCAATTCGTTGGTTTTTGATGATTCTTGTTTGCCGTCGTTCATCCAACCGTTTGGCTTAAAAAGGTTGAGGACAAGGATTTTTCCTCACGATTATTTGTACGTTGTGACAAAGGAGACCCGAAAGGGAGGTGGATGTAGTTGTATGTCCCCCACCCTCCCACCCAAAAAAAAAAATCTATTTTTCTAGGATCAGATGTAAACAGTACAGTTGCTTTTTGCCAAATAATTGACACATGATGTGTGAGGTTCACTTGAGGTGGGAATGCAATTGAAATGAATGTTTGTCACATCAATATCAGTCATATATATATTTTTTTTTGTAAAGCCGTCTATGCAACCTTTTTTTCCCCCCCAACATGAATTACACGTCCTTAATGGGGGTGGCCATTTTTTTTTTCTAATTAGTTGTGCGGCTTTATGATGCTAACGTGCGCGATTTTCATGTGAGGATCCTCAACAAGCGCTCCAGTCTCAACGTAATTGTATAAAGTGTAAGAAATGTGATTTTTAAAACTAATAAATTATATTTATATGCAACACTGACGACAAAAGACAGTGTGGCATTTTATTGTTTGTGTTGAACCACAGTCTTTCATTGCAATCCCAAGACCAGTGTTGACCAAACTTTTCTGAACAAGGATGATTTCTAGCGATTCAAATACTGCAGGCAACCAAAATATTATACAGGTAAAGTGTATTCACACACGTCCATTTGAAAAACATATTGATGAACCTTAAAAAAAAAAAGACAATTCGGGATATTTTTTGGACATACAAATGAAAGGTGGAAACCAACGCTGACGAAACAGGAAGCAACATACATTTATTTTTCAATTAATTTAATCCAACTGATCATGACCCTAATAAGGTCACTGAGCATTATGTTCTGAGGCTAGACAAAATCAACAGTACAAAAGACTGCACATATAAATACGGGTGCCTGGCTGTAGAGGAAGGGGTTGGTGTCCCCCCTGGCTCCCCTGAAGAGCCACTCAACTTTCACAGAAAGCACAATGGTATCAACACAAAGGCAAGTTAACTCCTCCCCCTGTCCAATGGGTCTTAGTAGTATGGTTCTTTCTTGTGTGCGCGTGTGCGTACGTGTGTCACGGCTTGATGTCCTGAGACTCCAACATCCTGGCGAGGGTCTTCTTCACCCGCAAGGCGGTGAGGCGAGAAGCCGGCTTGTGCGACCAGCATTCCGACATCAGTTTTGCCATCGGATGTAAACACTGAAGAAGACGAACAAAAGCTCAGACATAAATTATGTCGCACTCATCACGGAAGTAATCAATGGTGTACAAATACCTCATCAGCGGCCCAGCTGCTGGCAAACGCCGGTCTTTGTTGCTTGAGGCAGACCACCTTCCTCATGTCGTCATAGGAGGGGTCGGAAGCCACCAGGTCATAATAGGGTAGCTGGTAGTCCTCCGCGATGCCTTGGTGCATCACACACACCAAGAATTATTAGCGTGTGGTTAAGCATATTCAATCGAATGAACGTTACCTCCAGACACGCAGCGTCGGGCCATCTCCCACACGATGAGGCCAAAGCTGTACATGTCGGCCATGATGAAGGACTGGAAGTGAGTCCTGTTCAAGGTCTCGTCCAGGACCTCGGGAGGCATGTAGCGTTTGGTGCCCACCCGCAGATTGGGCGGCACGTCCACCTCATTGGTATCGCTGGCAGGTAGACCAGAGAAAATGAAATCTCAACAACGAAAGACCAAGAAAACAACCGTCGAGCGTTTACCTGTTAAACTTGACAGCCAGGCCAAGGTCCGCGATGCAGCACGTCCCGTTCCTCTTGACCAGGACGTTCTTGCTCTTGAGGTCTCGGTGGGCGATGGCCGGCTTGCCTTGTGTGCCGTAAATCTCGGTGTGCAGGTGGCACAGGCCCGATATGGACGAGTAGGCCAGCTTGAGCAAAGCTCTGGCATCCAGCGTGTTGCATTTGAGGTAGTCGTAGAGCGAGCCGTTCTCGTGGTAGTCGGTGATCAGGTACAACTGCGTCCATGAGCCCGTGCCCTTAATGTCGGCCGCTATGAAGCCTGTCGGTCACAATGTTCAAAAAAATATAATGAGTGACAAAAATGTCCATCTTCGGGAATTCCAGCAATACCAAGGAAGGCGGAAATAGTAGTAGTAGTCATAATCATAATAATAATAAATGCTAGGTGTTCCCTTTCTTCTTTGCATCTCCAAAGGGTGAGTCATTTTACTCATTAATTTTCATCGTCATTTTCGGGTTTTTTGTATTTTGGTATGGGTTGTTCAAAAAAATTTTTTTTGTACCTTCAAATGTTAATTTTCATTTATTTTTCTGTATGTGTAAAGAAAACAAACAAAAACATTATTTATTTTTTTATGTTTTTTTAAATTATTTTATCATTTTTATTCTGAAAGCATATTAAATCAAAATCAACCCCATCCACCACCCCATCATATCAAATTTTTGAGGCCATATCAACATTGACCATTGCTGGCGAGCCCTCACCCAGAATGTTGTCGTGTCGCATGAGGAAGGTCTGGTAGATTTCCGTCTCCCGGAACCAGCTCTCTTCCTCGGTGGTGAAGAACACTTTGACAGCCACTCGCTCTCCTCGCCACTTGCCCATCCACACATCCCCGTAGCGCCCCTTCCCGATCTGCTTCACCATCTGAATCTGCTTGGCGATGGTGCGCTGAACCTGGTGACACCGGCAAAAAGATAAATAAACACCGTTGCTTTATTTAGAGCCAACAAAGGCGCACTTCCATGCAGAGTGCAGTGACGTAGTCGTACCAGTAAGGGGAGCCCTGAGCCCGAACCAGAGCCGACGCTGTGGGAATGTTCGATGAGGTCTTTGAGTGACTCCCCCGGGGGGATGTAAGAGTCGTCCTGTTCCAGGTTGATGCTGTAGCGCGGCTGCGATTCCTGCCGCTTGTACCTAAACGCATGCAAGTTAGAAGTACAGATACTCTGCAGGTAACAAAAAAAAAATTAAATAAAAGCAAAAAAAAAAAAAAAAAAAACTTGTCTGAAATTCATGTTCGTACATAAGAGGAAAAAAAAGGTTTAATTTTAGGTTCCCTGTTTTGACAATGCCAGGTGTAAAAGGTACCTGACTTTAAATTGAGGGAGCAAATTTAAAAAGTCATCAGAAAGATAAATATTCCAGACTCAAGAAATCAACTGAAGTACAGGAACAAAGTACAAATACTTCGCCCTGATGATTCGTGAATTCATGACAAAACAGAGCTGAACCGTTACCTGATACAGCAGATGATGAAGACGATGACCACGAAAATGCCGCAGACCGTACTGGAAATGAGGAGAGCCAAGTAATGAGAACCGCTGTCCACGTAATCTAAAAAAAAAAAAAAAAAAAAAATTAGTGTCTTGAGAACATTTTGCCAATTTTCCAAATATGAGTTTCCCTCTGTGCGCCCGCAAGCCGAGAATCGATCGCATCCCCTTCCTGAATGCCCCAAAGATCACATGTCACACCGACATGCCTCCAGAAGCAGCTCGGGGGCTCTAAACTTTCAACCCGTCATGAGCTTGTCACTCATACACACTGGTAATGAGATCCAAAAGGTGAATTGTACTCAAATAAAATCACAACCCTCAACCAAAAATCCAGAAATAGACGCAAACAGGAAAAAACAACACTTTTCGCAACTTCACAAATCTGCTGTCACCAAAGTGTTTGATGGAGAATAAAAGTGACGCACCAAGTGTGAGAGCGGGAAAACTTGTACGCCTGTGTGTCATTGTGCACGTGACGGGAGAGCGAGCGCGAAACAGATGGACTGACAGACATCTCGCATCCGTCAGGAAACTGAAGCGGGCCCCGGGGAGAGGCTGTCCTTTTCATTAGAGGGTGAGAGACCAAGCCGAGCAAGCAGGTTCTGTTTCGCCTGCAATGTGACCCCCCCCCCCCCCACAACCCCCTTTTGCACCCCGAAGACTGCCCACCCCGCAACGCTTCGCTGCAGCCCAACAATAAGCTTTCGTTCATTTTCCCATGTCGCATTTCCTGAAACTGCAGCCAAGGGGACATTTACTTGCTCAACTGTAGACAGTGCCAGATGTTTATTTGAACAAAGGCATTTATTTGGGAAGAGGCCTCCCGGTTCATGTGCGGTGTTGAATATCGTGTCAGAGAACGGACTTGGGGGGGTGGGGATGGGAAGTGAAAAGCATTGAAGGATTCCGAATCCATGAACCATCCATTTTTTGAACCCGCTTCTCCTCACAAGAGTCGCGGGCGTGCTGAAGCCCATCCCCCGCAGTACACCCTGAACTGGTCGCCAGCCAATCACAGGGCACACATCGACAAACGACCATCCGCGCTCTCATACACACCAAGGGACAATTTAACGTTGCATCTCGTCAGTGTTGAGTTTGCCGCCTTGGCCGGAAGACAACCACCTCGTGTATTCTCACCTGAGGTCCGCAAGGGAGGAAGAGTCGGGTGAAGGTTGCGGTTGCAATAGTCCCGATCCGTGCAGCACTCCAGAGCTCTCCGGAAGCGAGCGTTCGCCGTGTCCTAGCCGGCAAGAACACACGCATCCGAGCATTGTAAGTAAGACCTGACATTGGTCGGGCGGAAAAGTTGAATGAACTTGTCAGTACTGTACAGGAGGAACTTCTCAATTAAAAGCTATTTTCCCATTCACATCAATTTTGGAGACCCCGACCCCCCCTATGAGGTACACAAAGAACACATGGGCAGAAGACGACTCACTCTGCACTGGAACTTGGACCCAGCCAGTCCCAGACAGCCTGACGTGAAGACGGCCAGACCGCCCTCCTCTTCCTCCTCCACCATGGTGAAGCAGAAACCGTCCGTCCTGACCAACAACAATTTAACTCACACTTCAGTGGATCTAAAAATTCTGCACACCCATGTTCAGATGAGATTTGGAAGTGTTTTATAATTTGCGCAGAATGAATGTGTTGTAGCGTACATGCAACTGTTGTTCGAGGAGTCTTCGGGACACTGCTGGGTGCAGTGACACCACAACATGTTTTGGGCCATAACGGCGGCTGCACGACTGCTGCTGTTGCTGCTGCTCCCCTCGGCCCTCCGCTCCGACTCCTGCTTCCAGCCACCCCTCAGCAGCAAGCTGTCCAGCAAGTTGCCTGAAAACATCAAGAGACACAAGTTCAAAGTCAGGAGATACAAATGGAAGGGTCAAAAGGATCGTCGCAAGAACCGGGATGAAAGGGGGCAGTTTTTGCCGGCGTCTCCGTGGTAACGGGATCCAGCGTGCCGACTCAAGCGACCAAACATGATGATGCCAACAGACCGGGAAGGGAAGACCCATTGTCACAATGGGACATCAACTACGCATCTTCTCACTATAATACCTCTTTAAAAGGAAATCGATTTTTTTTTCTATTTAAAAGAAACTGATTAAAAACTAAAAGAAAACAAACTGGACTTGTATGACCCAACACTGACCAACTGTTTTGTTTGTTTTTAAAGAAAAACGACCACCTGTTAAAGTGTTTATTGTTAGTACTGGAGCACCCTCTAGCGGACAGAATGCACACTGCAACTACCGCTTGGCAGAATTGCCACCTAATGACGTAAATCTGAGATACAATATGCGAGCTGTACTATTACGAATAGTCTATTGGTGAAGTCTTTATCGGGATCGTTCAGTGTACAAAGATGTTTTTAAATTTAAAAATATGTTGATTCATTTCGTACCATCCTATGAAACGCCAACATTAAAAACGAAGTCGATCAGATAAAAAAAGGGAGCACCTTTGTTGTCCTCCTGAAATTGCACTACGTGTTCTTCTCAAATAATCTACGTTCATGGGAGGTTTGCACACTCCTTCTGATCTACCGAAAGCGACCTTGGCGTCTTTTTTTAATCAGCATCTGCAAGTCTACAAAGCGCGCGCACCATGCAAAAAAAAAAAAAAAAAGTGGAATGCTTCATGAGGTCATCAAACCTTTTTAGATACACTTCACCTCGAATCAGCGTTTGCTTTTTTATCAACGAGCGCAGGGGCAGGTCATTCAGGGAAAGCTGACATCATATTTTCTGGGGGGGGCGTCACATGCAAAGCAAAACCTTATCAGGGCAATGATACTCCCCTCTTGTGATCCTGTCTGGAGCTCGGGGCAAGGCTGCAAACGCAAACCAGCATGTGAAGGTGGGAGAATTTGCCCATGTTCACACCCCCCACTCACCTAAAAGACGTACTCGCGTCTTTATCCTCAGCTCGCAGGACAACGATCGGTTCCCACTGCGGGATTCGGACTTTAACTCGTGTCCATGCTCAGTTTAAAAGGTAAAACAAACACGATCAGAAAACCCCAGAGCAAAAATCCACTTCCAGAACAATTTCCACATTTTTCACATAATGTCAACAACATTACTGGATTGCACTTCAACACAGTGCGCACAGATATGGGCTACATAGAATTAAAGAGAAGAGAGTCGGCGCAGCTAGCCGGCAAGCTAGCTAGAAAGCTAGAATTAAAGAGACGAGACACATTCAGATAGATATCGATCGATCGATAGATAGAATTAAAGAGGCGAAAATCGACACATCTGATGCGAAATATTAGGAACCGCTGAGAGTAAAGTGCAACATTTTACAAACACAAAAATAAATTGTTTCAAGCTGTCAAATTCAGACTTCAAAAGTTAAACTTTTGGAATAGACGTCAAATCCAACCAAAAAGCATGATGATATTGGAATGTGATATAATTAAACTCATTGTTAAAAGAGGGGGGGGGAAAAAGTGTGTCAGTCTTGAGACAGTTTGGTGTTAATGCGCAGCCAACAGACAGACGACGGCCGCATTCAAGGTCACCCCGAAATCTGATCTCCATCCCCCACACATTCCACAGGCTGCTCCTCCACGCACACACACACACACACACACACATACACACACACACACACACACACACACACTGGATGTACAGTATGTTATTGACATTTCTCGACAATGAGCGTTCTTCCACATAAATGATGAAAAGCTCTCAACACCTCGACTTTGTACACAAGCCACCGGAAACAATTAATGACTCATTTTTTTTTAACATATGTTCTATGCTTTACCCATCTTCGACATATGGGAGCATCGTATAAATGAACTCTCTGGAAGAATTACGCAATTTAATCCTCTTGGCAGAAATGAAGTTCACCATCGGTTTTCAATTTTTGGCGTGGTCTTGTCATCGTCATGATTTGCATACAGAATAGTGTGACTTGTAAACGGGCACAAACAATGAAGACAGACATGACTTGGTTTTCGTGTTCAATTGATTTTGAATATCCAAAACCTAATATGTAGACATGTATTAGGGTGCAACAAAAAACGATTTTTTATTGGAAAAATCGGTTTTGATTTAAAACATGCCAACTACATCGACTTGAGCCAAGTCGAATCGTTCAACATACAGAGATACACTTTTGAAGAAAATGCCACATTCTCAGGACTGACAAGTTCAGTCACATAGAAAACGCACGTGTGCGCACACACACACACACACACACACACACACACACACACACACACACACTTTGCTGCCCATAAAGCTTGACTGATTGATGGAGTTTTGACGGTTTTGAAAAAACATCATGCGCGTTTTCCCCAAGTGCCAATTTCCCACCCTGACGACCACTCAATCACATCCTCAGAAGCGCGGAGGATGACGAGGGAGATAAATTTCTCCAGGTGGCCCTCATAAATCTCCCGCTCAAAAGAGACATCGTCTATGCGTCTCAGGGGTGCACTCCGACCCCGAGAGGGGACAGGGAGCACCCTGCCAAGGGGGTCATTCATCCTCAGGCCTCAGACTCACGCCGCTTAACCCCTCAACGGGCTTCAAAGATTGGACGTACGTGCGCGTCAATGTGTCGGAAGAGCGCATTCCAATTCCTTTTCCACCCCCCTCCGAGTCATCTGTTTCGACTGTTCCGGCAACCTGCTCCGTGTTTACCAGCCGTGACCGTGCAGCCTTGAGGATGAAGAAGGCGCAGAAGTGTCGGTCATCGTTTGACAAGATGATTCCGGACTCGCCTGCCCTCCGATCCCGCGCATTCTCGGGCCGACTCCTGTCAAATTTGCGCTGGCTGGCTGAGAAATGTGGCGAGCGGGTGCTAGTTTTGCAGAGAGGTGCTATATCCACAAAAGACAACACGCAAACACAGACAGGCTACAAACTGAGACGCTGGTTTTGGACAATCATGAAGGCAAGCCTCCACATGGACAACTAACTCTTTAAGAAGGAACTAAATGCAAGGACAAACCCCAGTGAAGTGTCGCTTCATTATATCGCCTGCAGATTTTCTTTGGTGGCGATCTGTCGCTAAAATCAGTCAATTAATCAATCTGCAATTTCTAATCACTTTCATGGCTCGCATAAATCCAGTGCAGCATAACTCTGCCCAGAGGCGAGTTGGTAATAACGCAGAAGAGTGCGGGCCGGCGGTTCTGCGGGAGCGAGGGCTGCGCCGCTGTGGGAGTGGTCGAAGCTGACTTTAATGGGCAATCCAAGTGACTCCTTTCATGCCACACGCCAGATTCTCATACAGTACCGGGCGCACATATGCGACGATAAGTCGGCACTTGCGGACTGATACCAAGCAATCATTTCTGAATGAAATACGTCACATAAGGGTAGCTGTCTATCCTACGCTGGTGTTGACCTGCACTTAGACATGGGCTGAATAGGCGTAACATTTGCGATCATTTTTCTGCCACCCAATGCAATGCTTTTAGGTGTGCCTTTATCGCGCGGAAAATACGGGTGTGCTCACTGAACGTTTGGAGGAGGCTCCTTCGACAAACACTTCAGCGGTGGGCCCAACCGAAATTGTACAAACGACACTAATGTCAAAGGCAAGGAAGGTCTCTAGTAGTCCAAGAATGTGTGTGTCGAAGCAGCCAGCCGACAGAAACAGGTGGCTGGTGTAAAAGACTGCGCCGCTCAGATTTATGGACAATCTCCCACATGTTTTACTCGTTGGAGAGACCTTCAACATATCAGATCACAAAATAGGCGAGGAAGTACGGCAGAGAGGGTGGGGAAAGAATAAAGGCAAGTGTGCCGAGGGCTTTGTTTTGGCGTCTTAAGGCAATCGGGTCAATCGCACTACAAAGTGTTTTTGGTGTGCGCATCATTATAACTCTGTCAGTATGAAAATGTAGACGAATAATGAAACTCGGGTTTTATAAGTAATGGCGTCGTGCTATCGGCATAGTATAGTTCAGTAGTCATAAAGTCACATGGATTATAAGATGCACTCAACAGTATTTATAGGGCACTTTAAAAAGGAACCGCAGCGCTAAGAAAGTGCTGCACAGAAGTGATGATGATGCTCTGCACACTGACGAGGGACCTGTTACGGTGAGGCACTCGTCGACATCATCAGCTGCAGCAGCACAGGAGGTATTTCATCACCGGCTGTGAACGTTTCAAGCCAGCACACAGTCACGACTGGACTTTACAGCTGGTCGATATCTTCGGCACGACTCCACGACAACGTCTGTGGGCTTGAATGGTGGCTCAGAAAAACAGAAGGAGCGGCACAAAAAAGGAGTGTGTAGTCACAAGTAACCTGGACCAGGTGACCATTTATAAAAAAAAAAAAAAAGAAGATACTTCCAATGCAAAACTACCCATTGTAATGAGTACTTACATTGAGAATATGAAAATAAATGCACTTAAAAAAAAAATCAATGATGGGTGTTCAACTGTAGGCACGACTCGCTACTCACTTCCCACGGGAATGCGCGAGTCGTGTCTAATGTGCCGCTCAAGTGTTTTGAATACCAATCTTGTCGGCTGTCAATCATTTTCCTGACTAGAAAGAGAACAAATGCCGAGGTGCCCCACTTGAGGGGCTGGATGGGGGAGGCTTGAGATGCTGGGGGTGGGGGGGTCACGGACCCTCCCGCCTGTCACAACCTTACAGGCCAGCAGGACACTGTTGGCATTCATCGTAAAAAGACAACTGGCTGCCCATCTTCAAACGATTCAAAGCGGGAGTGTGCAGCGGGACATGAAAGCGTTCTCAACGTCCATACAAGAACTGCGAGGAAACTGGGACCTTGATTATAAATTACTAATTCAACTTTCGCAAAGACTTTTTTTTTAATACATTTTTTTCCTCAAAAGGTTTAAATTGATAGCGCACACTGTGGTGTTGACAAAAAAATTTACATTTCATGAAAATTGGTCGAAATGAGCAATTTCCAACCTTGCATTGCCTGGCACACTGTGGTGTTGACAAAAAAATTATGCATTTCATGAAAATTGGTTAAAATGGTCGAAATGAGCAATTTCCAACCTTGCATTGCCTTTGATGGGAAAGTTGCCCGGGCGACATAGGCACAGCAGCTAGCTCTTATGAGGGTTAAGATTTCTTTTTTTATGCAATTTTAAGAGATTGCGTCGTAGACAAGAATGTTGCGTTTTCAAGAATTTAACAGCAGTTGAGCATTAGGCAAAAAAAGATGACTCGAAAGTTCAATTTCCACTTGCGACACAAAGCAAATAAGAAAAAAAACAAAAAACAACAGCGACTGTGCAAAACCCCAAAAATTCGTACGGATGACCCGCCGGAGAAGCCCACACTTGTCTCGACTCACCTTGCGATCCTGGGCTCAGCAGCGTCATCAGGAGCAGAGCGTGCCAGGCCAGCATTGCGCCACCGCTGCCGCCACCGCCGCTTTTCAAATCCTCCCGCAGCAATCACGAACTCGTCGAAGCCGAACACGTCTGCCGCAGCCCTCCCCGTTCCTCCACCTCCTTGCGCCACTCCGACACTGACAGCCTGGGAGAGAAAGGCAAAATGGGATGAAGCGGGGGTGTTACTTCTCTCTGGGTGTCCGGCCCTTTCTGCCAGTGAGTCAACAGCTGAGCGCACGTGGACCGCACAACGCACTGTCAACAGGGAGGCAACAGGAGCGTCGGGGTAGCGGAGATATCGACTCACTGGAAGCCGATCCATGTTTACGGACACCCACATACAAATCCATTCGATGACATAATCGGTCAATTAATCGATGCTAAAAAGATCGGATCGTGACAGCCCTCAAAAATAATTTTTGGAGAGAAAGGTTTCTTTCCGTCATTTTTTTTCCTGTGTTGCACATCCACACACACAAACACACACACAGACACACACAACTTGATTATTACAAGTACCGTATTTTCCGCATTATAAGGCGCACCAAAAAGCATTCAAATTTTCACAAAAGCCGACAGTGCGCCTTGTAATCTGATGCGCCTTATATACGGATCAATATACTGATGTATTGGACGTCGTACTTTAAATGTTCTTTAAAGCGCTTCATTACCGCTGCAGCGGTCGTGAAAGCGCTACCGAAATAAAGCTATATTGGATTGTATTCTCTTTAGATTAGCTCCATCTAGTGGATACGTGACACAACTGCAGCCACGATTGTAGCTTCTATACATGCACTTTATAATGCGGTGCGTCCTACATATGAAAACAGTTTTAAAAGAGGCCATTCATTGACGGTGCACCTTATACTCCTTATACTTATTGTGCGGAAAATACGGTATTCTCATATTCCTGCAACATACATTCCCAAAATGTTCCTAATTGGGATCGCAGAGGTTTACACAGCAGGCGATTGCAACGCGTGTGCGCGCGCTGGAGGTGTGTGTGAACGGGGCAGAAGCCGCGGCGTGGCGTCAGGTGATGAGGAGGCGATTAGAGCTCACACCTCCAGGCACAGCAACCGCCACTTTGTAACTCGCCGCTAATCCGCGACGCAGACACACACGTTAACAATGGGGACACATTCCTCCCGTCAATATGTATGTCGGAAGAGGATTAAACCAGCTATTAGCCAGATTACATCAAGTTCACAGAGTGTAAAAAAAAAAAAAATAATTTTTAAAAATCACAAATATGTCAAGTATTCTTGTGAGATGCAATCTCTTCCCGATGGGTGGACGAAAGTAAACAGCCAAATTCTTGGCGTAAAAGTCGCACATTTATGAAAATAATTCACCAATATCAATACAATTAAAATATTTTCAATTTCATAGTCTTATGATAGTAAAATGATGAGGGTCTATGTGAATTAAAGTGACGTCTCTCGATACATGGGATGTGATAGGATTCAAAGAATTCTTGGTGATGTTCGGAACATTTCAAAGCAGCTGGAGCCAAATGGGCCTCAGCACTCCTGCCTCCTACTTCCACTCCAAGTGTGAGGAGCTGCACCTCCACGGGCCCTGGAGCTGCGGAGATGTCACCCCAACCCCGCCGCTCCATTTGTGCTTGTGCAACCTCGCGGCATGAGGTAAGGGGGGGGGGGGGCATGAAGCGAATGGGTCAGTGCACCTCACATGGTCTTCTGCACTCCAGCACACACCCAGCGTGGAGCCCCCAGAGAGGGACTGGAAGGCGGGAGTGAGCGTCACTAGGTGGGGGTAAGGGGGGGGGGGGGGTCACGGTCAGACATAAGATGGGGTTTGGAAGTGGGGCAGACTGCCAGTGAAAACTTCCTTTGCCCTCCTGTTGTGTTCATTGGAGCAGGACAATTTTTGAATGATACTTTTTGTATGAATTCGACATTTCTGCCCGTCGCCTCCAAGAATCCACCCCCAACACTGCTTTATAACTAATTGTGTAACTGCTAGGGGGGGGAAAGCTAATTAATATACCATATAATAATAATAATAATGAAGAAGAGGAAGAAGAAATGGGGATGTGTTTGTAAATTTTAAAAATACTGTATAGACTGGATTGGAACGAGATTGTATCGTTGGCTCGCTGGTTAGCTAGCACGCTGGTTAGCTAGCTTCCGAGATAGCTAGCTAGCCAGATAGAGCAACAAAATGCCACGATCCAACAATACTGTTGTGTAATGTTGACATGAATGTGGCTCCTTTGTACAGTCCCAAACCTCCATCTCCATTTCTTAGACAAACATTTTCTTATGAAACAGAGAGCTCGCGCTAATACTTAACGTATTACCCCAACGCACCGTGACAATCTTCAAATTTCATTTTCAAAGCAAAAAAAAAAAAAAAAAGGGCCTTTCATCATGTTCACGGTGTACAAGCGGAGCAGTGGGAGCGATTCAGGCGAACCCGCCAAAAAAAAGAGGACAGATGATGACGTCGGAATGCGTGTCGGACGGCCAACGCTCCGAGCTTCCGTGAAATCGGGAAGATTAGCGGAGTTAAAAGTGATGTCACCCAGAGAAGTTTATTACCGTGGCAACGCAGCTGTTTGCCTGCCAACGGCTCCTATGGGGGGCAAGGAAAACTATGGATGTATTGCAAGTCTCGTATTTGTAAACGAGGAATAAAATTGCGACGAAAGTCTAATCAAGTCAAATTTTTCGAACAAAAGGCAAAATCTTATGACGATACAAAGAATAATGAGAAAATGTTTTAATTGTAGGCCTATTTATGCACTGTGACTCAATAACAAGAAAGAAGGAAAACAAGCACAAGCGTACACGAAGGGGATCGTGGGTTCCGCAGGGGCCGCGTCAGTAAGCGGCGCTAATTAGCGACTTCCTCCGCCGGTCAGACCAGAGTGGACGGCGGGGGGTCGAACCGCAAACTGGCCGTGACCCTCACACCTGCCTGCTCTCATTAAGCCTCAGCATGTCACAAAAACGCATGCCAACACACAATCTTGACACCTACATGCCTGCCACAAACAAAAAGCAGTGCATGGTAACAGAAAGCTGTTATTTTTTTTGGATAAATACATTTGCTGGCCCTATAAGAGATAGAGTTAGTACTATGGGAGCTGGGAGGGGGGGGGGGCACTATATGAGGGCAAAGGGTGGGGGTGAAAAGTTCATGCCCAACCACTCCTGGCGAGGGCTGCGCCTTCACCTCCAATTGTAAGACTGATCACTCCAAGAGTTGCGTCACCTGTTTGCAGGAGGTGCCAAACAAAGAGAGGGACAGCAAAAATATGAGCATATTGCGAGGAAAACGCTTTCAACAGCCCGCATACAAAGTGTCACCGACCAAGCTTGAAAGCACAACCAGGTCGTGTCAATATTTTCTTCTCTGACAATTTCCTAAAATGTGCCATTCAGAATTTCACCCCGTTGTGTTGTCACAATGGGGTGTTCCAATGGAGGTCGTGTATACAGAAACAGTCCCCATACTAAGCTTCTCCAAGTGATCAGCTCGACTGGGGGAAGATCCAGACCAACTTTCAAGTGACAGTTGGGACTACACTGTCCGAAAAACTCCACCACCCCCAAGCATGAGTGCGCCCCCCGCTATGATGCCATAGCACTGAGTTTTGCTGGCCGCGTTGATTAGCATTAGCTTCTGATGAACCACACACACTTAAAACGAGCTTCAACCGAAAATTACCCTTCAAAGAGAAATGTCTTACAGATTATTTGGTTGGCAATAAATTTACTACCTGCGCCATCCAGTGGAATTTTAGGGTATTGCAGAAATGAGTCATACTGCCGCCAGTGAGCCAATGCAAGGACACCAGAAGGAGCAGCACAAAGTACACTGAATGAAAGCCTAAAAATGTGGCAGAAAATATTCTATTCTTGACATTTTCTATCATTGCATCATCGCTTTATGATTCTTTTTATGGACTATAATATTATACAGGACCAGATCACATCCCCCCCCCAAAAATTAAATTCAATTAGAAGACACTGAGCAAGTAAAGGCAAGCATTTGCTTCCTGCCTGGTTCGGGAGAAGGAAGAAGGGCCATCATTAAGGGGGAAAATTGCAGCGTATTTACCATAATCACGCGGTCCTTAATGAGCATTAATTGGTGCGCTTGCACACTGGATCAGAGATGCAGGAAAGGTTTAATGAGGGACGAGTTGTTTTGTTTCAGCGACTGTCAGCAATCATGACCAGCGCAATGAGCAAAGGAGTGACTGAGATATATACGTATATACAATGAGGATTAAAATAAACAACTTTACACAACTTTTTTTTTTTTTTACCTCGTCTATGAGAATCTAAGAGTTGGCACGTCTGTCTATTTCCCCCAAAAATCAAATATGGCACAAAAGTTGGCCCACTGGGGGCTCTAAATGCATCATCAACCGTCCGAAAGAAAGATTCCAGACATGTCCCATCGCTCATATATCAGGCGTCGCTTCACTTCAATTACTTGTTGTTGGAGTGAATGAAGTGAAGGAGGAGGAGGGAGAGGAGGCCAGGGGTGGGGGGGTCGTCTTCTGTGCACATTTTCCATGTGCACCCCCACCTCCTCCTCCTCCTCTTCTTCTTCTTCACTCCACAGCATAAAGCTCCTTTGTGTGACCGGCGTGAAGTGTGCTACGCTGATGTAGCAAACACAGTGGCATGCCGCGTGATTACTTTGCAACATTTGTCGAAGAAAAACCCACGCCCCGCCTGTCAACATCGCGACGGAGTTGAGGAGAGTCAAATATGATCACGAGGAGACTGGAAAATTGTTGCACACAACCGGAACTGCCAGGCTTTGGAAATATTGAAAATTGATATTTAAAATGGACTCTTTGGTTGTTTGTGTACAAATGGTTGGGTCTCGAGAAAAGGGCCCGACCGAGATGGATGATTTGAGGCTGATGCTGATTGCGATATTTGGCAGAAAAAAAAATCCCAATAACCGATTGATCAGCCGATAACAGAAAAAAAAAACAATGCATAAAATAACTTTTGGCCCTTAGCACTTAAACTTATGAATTACAGGCTGACTTCTGTTTTACAGTAATTTTAACTTTACCACAGAGAGAACAATTGCAAATAATAGATTTTTATTTATATATACATATACATACATATATATATATATATTTTT